AGGAAGTGACTCTACACAAAGTACAGGAAGTAGAGACATCATTTTTATTCCAGACACACTAGTTCACATGAAGCTTGAATTCACATGAACTAAAATGTCTCTATTTCTGATCCTGGTGCTTCATTTCACAGGTAAGGGTACATGTAATCTAGAAATAACAAACATTAAAAACAAATGTATAGATTTTTTAAGTATGTGTGTTTTCCACAAGGGACAGTGACAAACTTAGTGGACCGTTGGAAACCAAGGATGATGAACTAATGAAACGTCTTCATTTATCTTCACATTGACATTCACAGTAATATTTGTATTTCTCTGACATCTTCTCAGGAGCTGTAACCACAGCTTTATCCTTCTTGACTGTCAGAGATGGAGCTGACGTCACCTTGAGTTGTGAAAGTCTGATAGATGGTCAGGAGAAATGTGACGGTACTACATGGCTCTTCAGTAATTCAAGAAGCACGTCAGCAGTAGCGTTGATTGAACTTGGGCAGACTGGAAAAGAAGCTGAATCTAAATCAGACAGACTGAGTGTTACAGAGAACTGTTCTCTGGTTATAAAGAAGGTCACAGCTGAGGATGTTGGTCGTTACACCTGCAGACAGTTTGACAAATCAGGACGACAACAAGGGAGAGACAATGTTGTTGATCTGTCTGTTGTTACCAGTGAGTGTTTATAACATGTTTCCTCCACAGTCTGTTTAGATCAATGTGCTGAAACATTACAATATCTATGATTATGATTTTAATTGTATTTTGTTTTCCTCCCACCAAATCTCCATCTTCACCAGTGACTGAACAGAAGGACACTGATAAGTTGACATTGCTCTGCTCTCTGTGGACTGATGGACGGTGCATTTACACAGTGAAGTGGCTGCTGAAGGGAAACAATGTGGATAAAAATAACAAGGACTTGAAGACATCACAGTCTCCTTGCAATGCCACGTTGACTTTTAATATTTCTCATTTCATTTACTCATTGAGGGATAAGTCATTAACCTGTGACGTGACTAACAGAGACCAACGGTTTACCGTCACCTTTCAGCCCACAGGTGAGACATCAGGTGGGAATGTGCATTTATTTAACAGCAGATGTTTTTCTAAACAATTAGTCATTGTGTTTGTTCATTTGTCCAGTCGAAGACAAAACACCAGCAATAACAAAACCAACAAGAGCAACTGAAAAGACCACAACAGTAACCAGAGCTGGTCCAGACCCACCAGGTAGTGAGTCAACATTTAGTGTTTGTTCCTCTGGACTCCTTCTGTCTTCTGTCAGTCTCACCTTCCCCATGTTTAGCTTCTGTATTTATATTGATTTGTTTTCATTTTATGAGTTTTTATTTATGTATTTGTTTTGCACGCTCAAGGCAAAACTAAATAAAAAACTATTTAATAAACTTGTTAACGTTTAGAAGAAAATAAAAATTAACATGACAGTTTTGCGCTGAATTGTTTGGGGCATTAAAACTCTGGAGTGTAATTAAATGTCGGTGTCATGACCGTGGAAGGAGACGCCTGCAGCCGCAGATGTTGTTCATGTTTCACTGTTTCCATTTCGTGGGTTGTGTTTTCTTTTTTTCAGGTGACGACAAAACGCCAGCAACAACAAAACCAACAAGAACA